GGAAACTATTTTACTGACTAGACATTAATGGGTCCATTTGCAAGGTCGACTTTCTCGCCCCTATGGAGACAGTCAAATTCAACTTTATCATAGTGTAAGAAGAAAAAAATATTAAATTGTTTAGTTATTAATCTTTTAGTGCATATATGTTTAATTTGTTTAATTTGGTTAATATTTAAATAGACATATTTAGTACCTATATGTAGTTTTTGGATAAATGTTTTATTAGTTTGGCATGTAAATCCTTAACAACTCGGTTTAATTTAAACCCATAGAATAGAAACAAGATAATATGCAAATGCAAATTAATTCTTGCAAACATCTTCGGGTGATAATTTATCAGGAGCAAGTCACAGAATGCCTGGCAGACAGAATGCCATTTCCAGCGGATTGCCTTCGCTACGACTCTTCTCTGTCAATGTCATAATTCAATTTAAATTTCGTGTGGAACACACAAGTTATTGTTGCATTCTCTACATAACCGCTAATCTTTATTCAGCTAGAAATATCCTAACCACTAGACCATGCGGGATATACGTTATATTAAACTTATTAATATTCCGCGCCCGCGATTATCTTTGAAAAGCTTACATTTATCAAAAAAAGAAAACTTTTTTGTAGATTAGTTCATTTCCATGGAGTAAAAATATTAGAGTGGATTTGTAAGTGTAAAAGTTACACTACAAAATACACGGTAGCATTTAGTGCTTATAATATATTAATTTTATTAAACACTTTTAAAGAATATGAACATTATTTATTGGTACATTCACACTATTTATTATTAAAATAAATCAAAAGGGTAGAAAAACTTAATGCGAGTGTTTATTACCCCTTATTGTGTTAAATAGTGACAAAATGTACACTACAGTGCATGCCAATTTCTTTGTCTGTTTTGATGTTACTAAGAGCTCTTTTTTCTTTACACTACTATAGTAGCACTATAGTGCACATTGTATCACAATCAAAGTTAAATTACACCAATAGTAGCAAAATAGACTGAAAAAATTGGTTGGTACCTATCTACCTACGCAGTGCATATCCGGAGATACCGCGTTGTGGAAGTGTGGCATTTTTGTTCAGATAGATTTTAATTACGGTGAATCCATAAGAGGACATTCTTATTTTTTGGTAAGTATTATACTTCCTTTTTCTTTAAGCCTTAATACTCAATGAATACCAATATGTTAAAAGAATGTCCATACCCGACCTATATTATATATCAATAATTTACGGCAGTAGGTCGGGTACTTGTAACATTAATAATATAAATACATACACACTTGATTTACTTTTTATTTTCAAGCGTAATGGTTGTTATATTAACCCATACCTACATTTTTATTAATATTATGGAAAATTTGTACACGTGTTGTAAATCCCCGACATACAGCCGCCTGACGCCTCTCTACCATTGGGATCACCCATTTTTTATAACAGAAAAATGGATTACTGATGAATTCTCAAGATAATTCATTGCTTACAAGTTGACAGCCAGTAAAACATTGCATTGTTCTAAATCTTTTACGTTTTAAGAAACCATTTTGCTTAAGCCAGCCATACGACTTAAATACAAAATTATATTTTAAAAGACACCGATTTTGATAATTGTCATAGATTTTTGTTCAAAATAAATGTTTCTCTTTATTTACCTTTTCGTTTTATTCACTACCACCAATATAGGTTTTACTCAAATAATAGTGTTAATTTACACTGGAAGTTTGCACTAAAAGAGTAAAAGTACCTTTCTAAAATTAGAATTTTCCAAAGTAGTGTTAATTTACACTGAACAAAACTGGGATTTTACCCAGGAAGTGTAGGTAAATTAACACTTTTTAATACAGTGTAAAATTACTTTATCCTCAGTTCTATAGTGTTAAATCATACTTGCTTACTTGGGGAAAATTACAATACAAATTAACTCTAATTGTAGTGTTATAAAACAACACTATTTTGTGTGGACCTGTGTGAACTCTAATTAGTGTTGCTTAGAGTTGATTTTTTTTACTGTGTACCAATTTTAAAATCCTAACTATGCTGCGAGTTATAAAATTTTGAACAATATATTATTTTTAACTTTTCAAACCTTGACCCAAGATATCTATTGAATGGGTAGGTTTAAAAAAGACATAACATACTTTTTTTGTAGAGCATTTTATTCCCTATTAACATTTGTATGATTTAGCACGTTCCTTTTTGTCTGTGTTCTGGGGCAGCCTGTATATCTTGTATGGCATGAGTGGGTTATAGTTATAGTTTTACTTGGTTAATCTTCAATGTTATGGTTTACGGTTACAATGTGGTTTGACTAATCCTTCAGCAAATAACATCATTAAGCAAATATCAATATATGGATGTATTTGTGTTTGTAAATAAATCAAAGCTAACATACATTGTTGTAATACATCTTTGTCTTGTTTCATTGTTTTAATAATTATAAATTTGCCAAAATTACAATGAATAATATCTGCTGCCGGTATAATAAATTATAAAGCAATAATTTATGTGCATATTGGTTTAGTAAATACTTCCGCAACACGTAGGTAATTTTAAGCAATATAGACTACATTATGTAGTATGTATTTTTTTGATAGTCGTTGATAATCGTCAATAAATGTTTTGCAAAACTGTGAAATACTTTCTCATGTTTTTAAATTAATCAAAGCCTAATGGTGCTTGCGTTTGACAATAATAATCATATTTTTATGATATTTTCCGCTCGAACTGTAATATTAATTCGACAGGGAAGTGGATTGATATAAATTGCTTTTCTGTTTACTTCGACAAAATCTTAAAAACCTAATTTCTTTTTCATATTATCCTAATATATAAATATTTTTTACTTTGCTTGTTACAAAATAAACATTTAATTCGTATTAGTATTCAATAAAAAAAGTATAGTAGGTATGCAACTCGTTTAGAAACTCATTTAATTAAACACTCTCTCTCAAGCCCCTAATTAAAATTCGTGAATATAATGGCGTTTATCAAATTTGATACATAATATACCATTTAATTTTATTTCGAACAAAATGTAGAATAAACTCCCCTTTAAGTAGTACAAAGAAAGTGCCTTTAGTATTTACATAACGCTCACTTAGTAGGCAACGTTGTTAGCCGCAATCAAAGTTTAAGGAAAACAATGAAAATAAATTAAATTAACAAAAGAAAAGCATTTATAACACCCTTAGTTATTAAAGGGGAGGAATTGTTTAGAATTGTTTAACGATTTTAATAACTTTTGTCAAAAGGGAAAATAATTATATTGCCATGGAAAACACCGAGTAGGAGTAAATCTTTCACTGGATCAAGCGGACCCATCTCCCGCATTGTTTTGGATAGTTTAAGGGCATGTCCCTTATGTTTTCTCTTTTGTGCCCCCTTTAAACTTAAACATATTGTTAAAATTAATTAAGGTAAACTAGTTTTAAACCATTAGTCGTATACGGTTGTAAACTTTAAAGTTAATAGTTTAATAGTTTTAAAATTCTCTTAAAAATGCCTAGAGCTCAACTTAGCAATGAAATGCCTATGCTTGTCTCAATTGGCTCCATTCAAACCAATTTGAACTACCAGTTGATTTTTCATTCAAAAATAATTAAGATCCCAGAAGAATAACCGGGTAAAAACCAGAATTCATTTTTCACAGAAGAGATAAAAAAATTATTAGTAAGTAACTTTATTTTTTTATAATTTTTTTGTGTTAGTGAGATATGTATTGATACATATAACTTACTAACACGAAAAAAAGTAATAAAAAATAAATAAAATTACTTGGTTATAATCATTTTTTTGTCTTTCTTGCAAAGGATGTTTGTAGGCATGGTCAAAATCATTCTTTATGATGGCGTCTGAACCATTCGAACAAGGACTGGGTACGTTGGTTTTGTGCAGCTACACGAGAGCCCTCTTGCGGTATTGGGAATAATCAATTAGCAGATTCATTTTTAGAATCTCACACTGGGAATGCCCACTTGTATTCAAATGGAAATTACCTATGGGTAACTTTAACCAATCGAAACCACTAAAAAACAGTAGAATCCTAATTGGGCTTTTCCATATTTTAAAGTATTGGGAATAACCAATTAGCAGATTCCTTTCTAGAATCTTACACTGGGAATGCCCAATTGAATTCAATTGGAAATTACCTATTGGTAGCTTTAACCAATCGAAACCACTAAAAACAGTATCATCCTATTCGGACTTTTCCATCATAGAAAATACCAGTAAAAACCAATTTCTGTTTTATATCGCTCCCAATTAAACCCAGTGAGTCCAATTCAGACCTATTGATACCTACCAAAACTTCAATTGCTTTCTATAAGGAATTAATCGGTCATTTACAACAGGGCTGTTCTAGGACGAAACAAAGATTGGATTGGTCAGTGAAGACCGTCAATGTCGTGTCTGGAGAGAACATCAGCGACTTTGCACTTTTGCAAGAGAAGTGGTAGGTACCATTTGAAAGTGGAATCATGTATGGGAGAAGAACTCAACTGGTTCAGGTTACTGGCACTATGACTGGACAAATTTACATGGATTTATACATTCGGCATATTATTCAACCAATTCGGGATAAAGAAGGTCCAAATTTCATCTTTATGGATGACAATGCCCATCCACTTCGAACTAAAGCTATCCTAGAGTTTCCGCGAGAGGGTGAAATTGACAAAATGAATTGGCAACCTCTTTCTCCGGACATGAATTCCATTGAACAGATCTGGGAATATTTATCCAGATTTATTCGTTACCGTTTGAACTCTTACATGAATGTTCAAGAGCTTATTGTAGCCGCTGTTGAGGAATGGAATTACATTTCTTATAATCGTATATGAGGCATGTCCAGACGTGTTCATGTATTGTTACAGAGCAGGGGTGGCAATACTAACTTTTTTATGTTATAAAACAGAAATAGGAAAGTTTGTTACCATTAAATGCGCTAACTTTTATATGGAATCACAAAGTGGTCCAAGACTTTTTAAAATGAGTGTAGATGAATATTAATGGACCAAGTTTTTTTTAATGTTATAAATATCACTTACCTGTAAATACAGCACAATTTTGCACATCGCAGTCCCAAACCACCAGGTGCTGGTGACATCCCAGACCACGGAAGGAGGCAAGCAGAAGAGTATAACGAGAAAATCTGCCACGGCCAGGTTGACTATGAAGTAATTGGTGACGGTTCTCATGCTGTGGTTCCTGTAGACGGCCACGCAGACCAAACAGTTGCCGACGATGCCGATGAGGAAGCCGACGCAATGAAAAAATATCAACGGCCACATCCAGGGCTTGGGGAAGATGTACTCCAAGTAGTCCTCCTCGTTGTAGAACGAATCATTGAGGAGGCTGTAATTGTACTCCGTCACATTCAATTCGTTTTGGTAATTCAAGTAATTTTCCTCCATTTTGTTTTAATGCGATCAATGTAAATTTTTCATTTTAAATGTCTCGTTTTGAATGTTTCATTTCAAGAAATAACTGCATCCCAATGAATGAAAGAGTGATCAGTGGTCGTGGCTTACGTATATCTGAAACAATAATAATCGGTTTTATTGGTTTTCGTTATTAACGAAATTGATTGATGTTCGCCAAAAGTGATTAGGAAGCGTATCATTGTACAATCGTATTTATTTTGGTTGATGAGTTTTTAATAGGATTTTTAGGTTTCAATAAAATTACAATTATTAATCTTAAAGTGTAATTTTGTATTTAAAAGCTTTATGACATATACTGCCGTTTAGTTTTTGAAGAGAGAGTTTTAGTAAAACGTTGTTCTAAACAGCGATTATTGCGAATAATTAAATTGTTTCACTATATTTTTTATGTAATTGCAAACACTTTTTTTTTGAACTCCTGAAGTCAGTTATGAAAAAGTGGTTTTAAAAACACAACAAAACAATTAACCAAAAATGTTTTCTTATAGCATAAATCAAGGATAAAGTGCGAAAAGGAAAAGGAAAACTAAACGAATTATATAAATCACTTTGCATTTGTTAGCGAACCTCATTTTCGTTTTATCATGACAAAACAAACAAGCCTTTATTTCTTATGTTTGTTTAAATAGAACCTTTGACTTCCAAACAACCAACAATAAATCAAACAAATGTCTTCATACATTTTTCTCTGTAAATAAAAGTTGTAGGGACTATTTCTTTTAACCCATGGAAAGGATCGCTTTGTCTAAAATATGATATAAATATTTCTTTTAATAAAAATTCAGTGCGAGTTATATTTAACAAAAAAATTCATTGGTTATATTTGCATAAAAAGACGTTTCTTTTCAATTTGTGATCTTCTTGCCTACTAGATTTTCAGTAGCCACCACCGTATTTTGTTTTTTCTATGGCCGCCATATTGGAATTTTACATGGTTAGATGAAACATAATAAGAAAAAACGCTGCTATACACGGTGGTCAAAACTTAAGTATAGGACGAACAAAAATGCCAACCAAAACTGATAGCATATTTTGATTATAGACCCTTTTGGTAACATTAACATGTATTTATCAAAATCCCAGCTGATCCTATTTTAAAGTTTTGCAAACTTTTTTGTTTTTCTATTTCTATATATTATTTTGCAATTATTGTACTAAAACTACCTGTACAATTTTAATAAAATTAAGCAAAATAATAAACTTTGTATCATTTAAATTACTTTACTCCCCAGTATTAATTTATTGAGTCACCTTTTATTTTTTACCACTCAAAACAAAACATAACAAAAAAAACGAAGATTTATATCTTAAATATTTTTTATAACAAAAAATACTGGAAGTTTGTCTATGAAATAATTACAACTTGCAAATTTTGTAAAACAATAATTAAGGTGGTTATGAAAAAAATTGCTATACGTTATAATGCAAGTGACATTTTGCTTTAGTTGTTTATTTAATGTATACTTTATAAAGTTAAAAATAGTATTTTAAAATGAAAATTAAACCGAAATTCAAGTTAAGCCATGAAGAAAATCAAAAGAAGGTATGTGCTGGCTGTGGAGACAAAATTGTTTTTGGTAATCGAAAAATTCAGAGTTTAGGGTTTCTGAAAAAATATAAAAATTACTGCAGACTTTTTCAAACGAACACTTTAACTTAAGTGATTCAAAATTACCTACTTCAATATGGTAAAAACGGTATTTTTCCATAGCCAAAATTGCCAAATTTTCAAAATTTAGAAATTGCTAGAGAATTTTGAGGCAGCCAAGAATGTATGTGCTTTATCTGCAAAATGGCAAGATATAAAGGGCATAAAAATTATTAAGGGAAGAGGACGGACGAACGAACTAAAGTTTTGATATGCTCTTCTATTTTAGGGGATATCGCTAGATGTAAGAAGCATGTTTGTATAGAGACTGAAGAATTTAAAAATACTGTTTCCATGTTAAAAACAATTCCATGTAAAACCCAAGAAAAAGTTTTACTGAAAATTTAAGGCAAGCAGTAATCGATTTTGCTTCAAAAAATCTTTGGTTATTTATTAGTTTTGTATTAGATACCTTAAAACAATAAATAAGATATTGCAAACTGTATTTTACATTATTTTGTATTTATAATGTAATTTATCCATATTTCAGTCATGTACTCGTATCTGCCAAATTTTTAAAAACATTTGATAATAGTAGTATTTTATTGAAATGGCATAAACAATTTTAAAATACTAAGAAATATGCAAAACTTTAATAAAGGATCGGCTGGGATTTTGATAAATACATTTTTGTGTTACCAAAAGAGTCTATAATCAGATTATGCTATCAGTTTTGGTTGGCATTTTTGTTCGTCCTATACATTAGTTTTGACCACCGCGGTGGTCCGTGCACCGTGTATATAAATAAAAATAATATAAATAAAAATAACTTAGTTCCTAATTAATTTTTAGACACTAAAGAAACATTATTATATATGTCATTTTTATGTGGATAATAACGGCGGAATAGTTAAACATTTATTATGATTTTGGGGAACACTTAAAAAAATACCTACATGAGCATCAATCGACGTAAGAAGTGAACGGTAAAATTTAATATCGACGGAAAAACCACGGAAACCTCGAGATACCTAACAATAAAATATAAGTATTTTTTATTTAAAGTACCTAAAAATAGCTGAGTATGCAAAACAAAAAACAATTATCAACAAACTAAACAATGATAACACAAATGTAAATTTTTAATGAATGTAGATATTGCTCACTCTGCAAGAATATTTTGCGTCAGTTGTCATAGGTTAGGAACAACCAGTGGCGGCCCAAAATTAATACTTTACCTATAAAAATTTTAATGATTTTTGTATTAAAAAAAAAATGCAAAAATGATGAGGAAAAATTTAAAAGATGACAACTATTTGGTGACACCCTGTATGGTTGCTTGTATTTAATTTGATTTAACCCGTACGTTTGACATGGTTAATCATGAATTGTTAATTCAAAAGATCTTTGCATTGGGTATAAGGGGCATATCACTTAATTGGTTGACAAGCTATCTTAATCACAAGGGGTTATTCTCGACATAAAAGGCAAGTTTCTAAGTTAACAAATGTTTTAATCGGAGTTCCTCAAGGTATCACTTTGGGACCAATTTCATTTCTGATAGTATGAACAAATTTTGTTATGTTAGCCTACAATGAGTTACCCCTTTCGATTTACCAGTGGCGAATGATGACATATTAAATTGGGGAGGCAGAAATTTATATATATGCAAAAATTGGATAATAAAATTACCGATGTATGTAAGATGTGAGACGCATAAACCCATATATATTTTTATTAACACAAGTATAATTATATAATCTACGGTATTTATCTCCATTTTAAAAATAACAGAAAACAATAACACCCACCACGATACGACATTTAAAAAGTTTGTTAGGATATAACATTACCCATGTAGCAGCCGCCACTGTGATTTACTTAGATAATGAGTTGGTCAAGAAAATTAAAAATGTTACGCATTAAAAACTTAATAAAAAAACTTTCATAAAAATGTTGGGTGTTATGACAGTTAAGAGATATTGTCCCACTTCAAACAATAAAGTTTTTATTATGCCCCTGGGTACATTAATTCTCTGCTGAGTTGTGTTTGTTGGGGTATCTCTAATAAAATTAAAGATGTTTTAAGGTGTCAAAAACTAATTATAATAGTGTAACTCATGTTGAGAATTATTTTGCGAGTTTTAGTGTGTATATTTTGTCCAGTATTTGAACGAAAATGTCTATAATAACATTTTTAAAACCATTGCACCAGTTAAAGATAAATATGCAATAATAAAAGTAAAAACTCCAAAACTAACAATATTTAAAAATAAAAATGTTTTTATTTAAAATTACTACATAATTTATTGACAGGTATTAAGTACGATTCGTATACATTAAAATTATTTATTAATTTTTAAAAGAAAAGTAAAATTCACTAGACAACGAACTCGTCGAGGACTTTTTTGCTTCTCCTAATTTAATTATTACCCCCAAAAAGGTTTCCTTAACTTTTTCATTGACTCAGAAGTTAAAAAATAATTTTCTTTAGGCTTAATAAAAAAGCGTAAGTAGGCTCTCTCTGTAAAATAAATGATATAAAAATGTATAGAAATATTAATTGATACTTGAATATGAATATATTCCCTTTTATACAGGGTGTCCATTTGGACTACCATTAATTTGTAAGCAATAGTACACTGAAAAAAAAGATTTCTTAAATTTAGAATACCTATCATCTTGAAAATGTATTTTTTAATTCTAGTCAACTTGCTTTAAAATAAGAATATATATTTCAACTAAAAATATTTAACTTCTTTAAAAAAGAATTTTGTAGTTTTGGAAATATTCTATTATTAGGAAATATTTTTTGTTTTAAAAAGTTTCATGTTTCAATACAAATATTACATATTCTTGAAGGCAATCTTAGTTGGTTTCTTGGTACAATAGTTAATATTTTTTTTATATTAAGAATAAGATATTCTTATTTTTTTTATTTGTTTAAAATTTTTATATTAAGAATTAGATATTCTTAAATTTTTTATTCGTTTTAATAAAAATTAATTTCTTTTGCCAAGAATACATATTTTTGAAATCGTGTAGGAAAGGAGATGCCGACACGTTCCTCTGAAATGTTATGCCTAATCATACAGTGTTTCTTTCTCTTTGTGAGGGAGAGGGCAAATTTCATTAAAAAATTATTAGAAGAATGGTCAGCATCGAAGGAAATTGAAGGTAAGTAAGTTGTTATTGATATATATATATATGGTATACCATATATATTGATATATATATATATATATGGTATACCATCCTATTTAAATTTAGCGTCGCGTTTACGTGTAGGAAGGTAGGTTTATTGTTTAAATATTTACTAATATGCATTAAGGAGGCCTTAAAATTATTTTATTCATAAATAAATAAGCTTTACAGTGATAAC